GTTGTGATTGCAAAACACGCAAATTGGGGAACAACAAAATTTTTGAGGGCTCCACATTGTGCGCCCGGCGCCGCGCATAATAATAAAAAAATAAAAATACAAATAAAAAAAAAAAAAAAAAACAACAGCAACAAAAAATGAATTTATTTGATTCGTTTGATGCTCGTAAAAATCAATGAAAACATTTTCGAGCAGCCACTGCCACCTTTGCCAATCTGTCTATAAGGGCTGCCTGCCCCGTTGCCCCGCTGCCCGACTGCCACGCCCACACCCGCACAGCCGCCCACAAGCTGCTGCTGTTGTTGTTGTTGTTAGCATGTAGTTGGTTGTTTTTGGAGCTATTCGAATGAAATGCCGTCGAAAAGTTTTGAGCCAAGTTTCGTATGAAATTTGTAACAGCCTCAAAACAAACTATAAAACTGGAAGTTTGAGTTTCTTTGAAACTGTTTTTAGTTTTTAGCTGTTGTTGCTGTTGTTGTTGTTGGCTTTTTTATGTTGTTGGCTGAAAGGAATGTGTTTGAAGCCAGTTAATTGGATTAACACTAAAGATGCGTGTGTGTGTATGTGTGTGTGTGTGTGCGAGGGTGTGTGTGTGTGTTTGAGAAACGAAATTCGATTTATGGACGAAATGATTTAATTGCCAAAATGCCATAGAACTGCAGCTGACAATGGGTTTGTTGGGCCCATTTGAACATTTGGCCTAAAAAAACGTTTTTCGAAAGCGTTTGCAGCAGCTAACATTACATGATTGGAGTTAACTTTTGTAACTTTTCAAGGCAATCAATTTGCCAAAATGGTCAAAAATTGTACTTTTATCAACGAATATTGGGGTTCGAATCCCTAGGGTTGGTGCATGTCTAGGCAAAAGCCTCTACTAGTAGCCAGAGCTAGTCAATAAATAATAATTTCAATAAATGAAAATCTATACAGATTTGATCAAAGGCAAAGGTTCGAACTGGGAACCCACCAATATTGTTTTAAGGAACTTGTCAGGTGAATGATTTAATCAAAAGAATTCTGTCTCTACATTAAATAGACAAAAAAGTGCATGATGTTTGTCCCATGATATTTGGCTTGATATTTGGTTCGCGGCCTGAAATTACAGGTATTTTGTGTGGAACTCACCTTGTTGTCAGCTTTCACGTTTTGTTTTTTTTTTTGTTTTTGCCGTAATTAATTAAAGTGGCCAAGGCGTAATTAGTGGAAACGGACGACCTCATGCTTTTGACTCAAGTGAATCAAAGTTCAACCAGCTTGTCTGGTAATTTGATCAGCTACTTTGCAAATGTGGTGGATGTTGCTGTCGTTGTTGTTGCCGCCGCTGGTTGCTTTTGTTTTAAGGACATAACACATTTTTCCACATTGTCGAGCATTGTCGCAGGGATAATAAGTTAGGTAGCCGAACGGTAAGGTCAGGTAAGGTTTGGGGCTTCAGACAATTGGCTTTGGTATTGGCTTTGCCTTTAGCATTGGCTTTGGTCTTTTGCATATGGGAATCGGAATCCCAGCAAATGTAAACGTGGCTCAAGTTGCCTGCCATACACTTACAAACACACACACACACGCACACATATTTGCGTGTGTGTGCAGCGAAATAAAATTAGCTCAATGAGCATTTGTGCAATCAAGTGATTTTAAACAACAAAAATTGGGGGGCTGTAATCGAAGTTGAGCAGCAGCAACCCTTGAAGCCGAAAGGGTTGTTCCCGGGTTGTGGCAAATAAATTTCACACACATTTGCGCACTCACATCCACAACATACATATGTGTGTGTGTGTGTGTGTGTGTGTGTGTGCAGTCAATAACTTTTGCTACAAGGTCGTCATCGTCTTGGTTGATTGTACTGAAAGGAATAAAACGAGTGCCCCCAGCCCCGATTTTGATGGGTACTGCGAGCATATGAAAATGCCGTGTTATGTATGCTTAATTTTGTCGAGCGCCCATTTGGAGGGACAGTGCGGGGGTTGGAGTTATCTGCATGTAAACAGGCGCAGGACATTGCCGACATTGTCCTTGCACGTGACTCATGCGGTAGCTTTGTGCTCACGGTCCTTGTTTGAACAAAAGGGTTGCCCGCTTGACTCTGCCGTGGGTCTTCACCCACACACTCACACACACACACACACACACTCGCACACATAACAGGAGCATATTGGTTTCTTGTAGTTGTGGGACTTCAGAATTTGGTTGCTCGGACGATTATTGCAGCACAGATCATTGGACAACAATTGTAAATTGATTAGACCGACAAACTTGGCCATTTGATTCGGTATCAAGTTCCAGACCTGAAAAAAACGAACTGTTCTTTTCGCTTCCCTCATGAGTCATGCCTTGCTGAAATAGTTCCTTAACTGAGTGGTCGATTTGTTGGATTCTTTATCCATGCAAGCAGTTAGTAACGTTTGTTACTTGGAATATTGTATATACAATATGGAACTAGTTCATTTTGAATTCAACTAGTTCGCTTCTCTTGCAGAAGAGCTTTGTTTCCTCTTGTGTTCCTGAACGACTTTAAAGGGACTTCAAATTTGGGTTCATTTTTTAACTATTGCCTAGCGCACGCACACAAGCACACGCACACAAACATGCCTACATGCTAAGATTTTCCATGCCCAATTTATAACTTCATAATCATGTTTATGATCATAATTATGTTTATTATCATCGCGGGTTGCTTTCATTGCGTCGTTGCCTTTGCTTTCTTTAGACATTTTTGTCAATTCGCTGTGAACTCGCATCATTTGCAAGCAACGCGACCTGAAGCTGAATTGTTAAGGACTCAGGGCTGGGTAAAAAGGGGAAAAGACAAAATGTGGCAACAACGTTAGTCGCATTTGCTACAACACGATTTCCTTTAACTGCCATGGTTGTTCTTCTCTCGCACAGCTTCTGGTTGGGCACAGCCGAAAAGGTAACCCACACCAGAGACTACACACACACTCACACAAGCACACAGCGCACAGCACACACATACATTTATATTCTTATTTATTTCTATTTTTATGTGTCACACACGCCAAAGGAGCCACGCATTTTATTTTGCTGCGCATTTTCACTCCTTTTTTTTGCTGCCACCCAACTCTGGCTCCGGTTCCAATGTCTAGTTCACCTTCAACTTTTTCAGCTCGTCCTTTTAGCTCCTTTGGCATTTTGCACGCGGCACGACATTCTCCCAATTGTGTTATAAATTCAAAAATGAATAACGCACGTTTGCCTGTGGTTTAAAATTCTATTTCATTTTATTGCCATTGCCTGTGCCTTGTCACCTCCTGCCCCGCCTCTAACTGGCAGGCGGGCAGTCGGGCAGGTGGATCTAGTTCATGCTGGGGTTTTTTTGCTTGGCATTTGACTTGGTTTCTTTTATGAAATGCTTTCACTTTTTCGACAGTCAGCTGTATTTTATTCTATCTTTTTGGCTAAAATGACACACTTTTAGTCTCTTGTTTTCTTTCGTTTTCCAACACTCGCTCAATTAAAACATTTTTGCTCTGGCATTGTGCAACTTGGATTTGCCCACATCCAGAAAAAAAAATCACCCAAAACTGAAACTGTGACTCGAACTCACGAGACCTCGACTCGGACTTTGTGGTAGTCCCCCTCTCCGTCGCACTGCCAGCTGCCACATACATACATATATCAAAAGGCTGAGCAGAGTTGACTTTTTTTTTGTGTGGCAAGCTCTTTTTTTTTAAAGCCGCTTAAAGAGTTTCTACTGCCTGCCCTGTGTAGATCGGAACGTGCATTCAGCGGTCTGCTCTGACATTTTTTATGAGCTTTACTCGGCTTCTTATTTGGTGGATTTATTTTTGCGCCGAAAAAATTTATTAGCCCAATGCAGCTCAATGTCTCACTGGCTTATTATTTATACATTTTTCTCTCTCGCTTCGTTTTTTAAGTGGCCCGCAAAGATAGTGTGCAGTCGGTAAATGTGTCACTGGTGACATGACAGCAAACAGTTGGCGAACTAGTTCCAAAATAAGTTCCAAAATGTTGGCAATTATTTACTGTTGAGGGGGCGTACCGAGAAACTGTTCCCCTGTGTAATTAAATCTTCAGGACTACATTTTTTTTGTTTTTTATATGCGAAAGCTGGTTTATGAAAGTGAAAAGCAGAAAGTGCTCTAAGGACATTAAGTGGGCCAATATTGTGAACTTGTTCCGAGGCAGCTTTATGTATTGCCAACTCATTTGTGCACGACTGAGGGTTTGATGAAATTAGCTGCCTCACTGAGATCTCTCTCTTTCTATCTATATATACAGGAATATACCTACATATATATAGTTATATATATATATATATATATAGATTCATAGATTGACTATCTCGGTGCAATCACTGTTTTGTTCTAATTTGGGACTATGCCAATGAGAGAGAATGGCATAATTATGCGTAACTTATGGTTATGGCTATCCATGCCATTTAAATGCACATCAATTGTGTTGAAAGTGCATTTCGAGTGCGATTGCGTTCGGGAATGCATTGGCCAACTGTCAGGCACAACGATAACAATAACACAAATATCAATCACGAACTCCAGTTGGGGATTCAATTAGGCATTCAGATATTGAAAACTAATTGAGATGAACTTTGACAAGCATTCAATTAGGTATGGATTTCGCCAGTTGGTTCCAGGCAAGCCAAAAATTTTACTTTAAAATATCAAATCTAAAATATGTATGTGCTCCCGTGTGTGTGTGTGTGGTTGTATGTGTTTGTGTGTGTGTGTGTGGCATTGGCAGGCACTGCATAGTTAGTATGTCATATTTATATAACTCAATTTCTTACGCTTGATGAAACATTTGCATTCCACATGCAAATTTTACTTTGATGAGTTTTTCCTTTTTTCTGCTGCCTGCTGCCTGCTGCCTGCTGCTTATTATTCCCTTTCATAGTGTATGCCAAAAGTGTACGCATGCTAATTAAATTGTTTTCCCAATGTACTCACTCTCTCTTTCTCTTTCTCTTTCTTTTTCTCTCCCTCTCTCAACTATGATTACAGCATTTCCATATTTATAAACAGCCAAGCCGGGCGCACTCTGAACTGAAAATTTGGAAACTCAGCTTTTCTCAACTTGCTGGTAAGTTATGCAATATGCTTTAAAAACGAACTGTCCATATATGGGCGATTATCTTAAGGATGTGTGGGTGTCTGTGCTTGTGTGTGTGAGTGTGTGTGTGTGTGTGTGTTTGTGTGCACTTTGTTTACTTTACCGTTTTATCAAAGAACATCGCAACAACAACAACAGCATCAGAAACTTATTGGAATTTAAAGATGTCAGCATTGACATGCGTTGAAAGCGTTGTCAGTTTCGATATACCCGCTGCCCCTCATCACAGCCAGCAGCAGCAACAACATTCGGCTAAGGAGCTCTCTGTTTTTATATCAGTTTTATTGTGTTTTATGTCGCAGCAAAGTCAACCAAAAATCGGCTTAAAAATTCAAGAGCAACAATCCAAAAGATGCGTATCATGTGGCTTTTATGCGGCTGCCGCTAGCGTAAGGCATGCCCCGCATTCCCCACTAAATGCCGTCGCTCTCCAACACTAGCTCCCTCTCCCTTCTCTCACTCTCTCTATCTCTCTCTTTCGGTCTCTTTCTTTTAGCTGAAGATTTTCGTTTTCTATTTGATAAAGTGTCGCTGGACAAAAGTTGAGAAGCTGCAAGCGTTTTTCCACGTAACGTTTGCCCATGCTCCCCTTCTCGCTGCCTCTCTCTCCCGCTCTCACTTAAGATACGCATCTCGGCAGCTTGTTGTGCGAGTGTGTGTGTGTGTGTGTGTGGTGTGTGTGCGGCATTTTATTGTCATTGTGGCTTTTTGGGGCTCGGTGACTTTTTATTATAATATTATTTTTTTTTTTGTTTTGTCTCTCTTTTGTTAGGCGCAAGTAAATCAGTCAGCGACGGCGGCCGCATCGGCTAAAGATACAGATACATTTACAGATACAGATGCAGATACAAATGTATTCGTAAATGCGTGCAGGCCGTGCAGCTGCCTCGACGACGTCGTTTTGTTTATGATTTGTCAAGATTTTAATCCCCGAAAATGTGTTTTAAATTGCAGCGCCTACGATAAGAATTGGGGCAGGGGCGGTGGCAGGGGCGGGGGGGGTAGGGGCAAGAGCAGGGCCTGTGGTTGCTGCGGGAGACGCGGGGTCTCGACAAAGAATGGAGTCGAAAACGCAAAACGCATCGCAAACAGAAAGAAATAAAGAAACTGAAAATAAAACCTGAAATGTTGGCCAAGTAAAAGAGTTGCTTGCTTAGAGTACTGTGTGGACGGGGGAGGGGTGGGAAGGGTGGGGCAACGGGCCAACGGGGCAGACATATGGCGTCCATAATTCGAAAGAAAGACGAACTGGCTGCGTGGGGAGTGCTAATAAATTCACCTTTTACCACAAAATATTGCCAACATTTGCAAAAGACAAACAGCTAAGCCCGGCACACACACACACACACACAGCGCACACACACACAGTCTTGTGTGTAGCTGTAATGTGTGGGCGGCATGGCAGCATAAATCTATCTCCTGTAGCTGCAACCACTCGCCCGTTTCCGCAGACCTCTCTGCTCGCTCGCTGACTTCTGATTGAGCAAAAGCTCCGACAACGTCGTCTGCCCATCCGTGCGTCGCCGCCTCCCCCCAACACGCCTGCCCCCCGTCTGTCTGTCCGTCTGGGTGTTGATTTTTGTCAACCTAATACAAAGCGCAAACAAAATTTGTGTTGGCATTTGGTTAGATTTGCCATTGCTTTGGTTTTTCCACTCTTTTCCTTTTTTTTTCCTTTTTGCTTGTGTGCTTATGTGTGTGTGTGTGTGGGTGTGTGGGTGTGTGGGTGCGGAGTATTAGACTTGATACCAGCTAAACAAGACGAATAATATGAGAAATACCAAAGTGTTGCAAAAGGATTGTTTTCTTCTGTAAGAGCAGCATATTAGGCTAGTGCTTGTTCGGACTGTAAGTAAACGAAAAAGAGTCGACAAACGCTTATGTAAAGCATATTATAGATATTATACATCTGAAGCAAATATAAAAGGTGACGGGTATTCTCAATAAGTTACATTGTTCTCGTTCCCGACTAGGAGATACCCCGAAGCTACACAATCGCGCGCTTTGAAAGATTTGAAACAAATCTGCAAATCTTAACGTGCCATAGAAGCACCTATTTTATCCTCTTCGCTCACATTCAATGGGTTCAGGCTATAATTGATATTTGCATAAATAGAATATTTGCATATCTGTAATAAGGCAAAGTTCTTAAAATTGTGTCCATAGTTTCTTTGGCAATTTTGATCTATTTGATTCGGACCGGGTTGGGTTGTGATAGGGGACTATGAGCTCTTATGATGGCAAAAATAGTTCCATTTACTGCAAATATTATGTATACTCAATATTACTACTATTTTTATTACAGTATTATTAATTCTATTTTTGTTATAATGAAAATATTATAAAGTGCAATATATTTTGTTAAATGTGGAGCTAAAGTTAAAAAACCAAAAAAAAAACTATCAAAGTTTGCTTCCAACCGCCTTTGGCTTAGATAGCCCAACAACTGAATACCGTGTGCAGCGTACGTTATTTGCATTTAAAGTTTTATTTATATTCTCCGACAATTAGTATGGGAGCATTCATTTATTCAACTGAACCATTCACTCATTCAATGTTGTCGGTAGAACAAACTTGTGTGCTCCAAAATTTTTGCAAAATGAAATATAAAACATTGCGCGAATTTCGTTTTCATTTATTAATTGTTTCGCCGTTGCTGCTGTTGTTGTTGCTGTTGTTGCTGTTGCTGTTTTTGTTTTTGTAGTGCTGATTCTACCAATTTGTGGCCCACATTCCATGTATCAGCTGCAAGCAGATATTTCGCGTTGCCAAAACTTCCACTCGAGCGAGCCACTTGCAGCTAGAGTGGCCCCAACAAGTGCATCAACAGTAACAGCAACAGCAACAGCAACAGCTACCGCTTCACGCGATGTATGTTAATTAAAGTCATTATGTGGAGGATGCCCGCTGGGAGCTGGAGGCAGGCAGCAGGCGGCAGGCAGCTGCTAGGTGGCATGCCACTAATGAAATGCCTCTGTCTGTGGTACCGTTGCGATCCTTGTTATGGCTGGCACTACGGCTGCAGCTTCAATTGGTCGGCCAAATTGGCCAATTTTCATATGCATGATGCGATAGGGCTCAAGGCGAATGGGAAAGCTGTCATGAATGAATGAATGAATGAGCAGCGAGTTTGAATGGGCGACTGAATGAATGAGTGCGTGAATGAATGAGAGCCAGCGTCGCTTCGCGTTGACAACAATGCAATTTTCGGGCCATAGAAGCTTGAGGGGGATGTTGGGGTATGTTAGGGTATGGTGTGGGTGCTGCGTGTGCCACGTGTCAGCAGAAAGCATTGTCCGACCTAACGAAACATGCCACATGCCACATGCCGCTTGAGGGGGATGTTGGGGTATGTTAGGGTATGGTGTGGGTGCTGCGTGTGCCACGTGTCAGCAGAAAGCATTGTCCGACCTAACGAAACATGCCACATGCCACATGCCGCATGCCGCACAGCAACTGTGCAGCAGCGCACGGAAGCATGCGTTTGGGCTTTTGATTTTTGAGCGCGTTCGCCTTCTAATGATGTACAACATGCACAAAATGTGTTAATGAGCCGCACGTTCACTGACAAGGAGCATGGAAAAAGAGAGAGAGAGTCAGCGGGAGAGGGGAGGAGGAAGGGGGAGAGAGCGCAAGGATGAGGTGGCAGCAACAGTGCTTAGCTAATGAGTTCTCCCTTTGGCAAACCTGTTGCGCCTGTTACCACTTCTGTTCGTCGTTGGGTTAAGCTTTCAACAGATCTCGACACATGACAATTGCATCGGGTATTTGCAGCAATTTGCTTAGCTGCAGCAATTGCTGCCGCCGTCATGTATCCATAGGAGACAAGATACTAGCTACGGGTAGATACTCACATGCACACATGCTGCGGCCATTTACTGCTGCAGCTGCTGCTGCTGCAGAAATACAAACAGAAAATGAAGAAAAATAAAACAACTTCAAATCAAAGACATAGCCTTGGCTAAATTGCTTTGCCCAGACGCCCACACACAGCCAACCAAACCAAACGGCAGCGGGCAGTGGGTGGGCTGGGCGCCTGGTGAACTGATGTCTGGTGTCTAGCAATCAGGCCAAGTCTGAATAAAAAATGAGCACCAGAACGAGTCCATGCACGTCCAGCTGAGCCCAGTCAAGTGAGTCGCTAGCTAATCGATTCAAAGCGATCGATAATTGGAATATCAAAATTATTATTGCTATCAAAATTACAATATAGGTAAGGCCAATTAAATAAATGCAGCTGTAGTATTTCCTATCGAATCTTTTCTATATTTAGTTCGATCACCATCTGAGTATAGAACTAAATATGGAGTATACTTATTAATTTAAGATTTATCTGGACGTATGTGCTCTCTTCTGCTAATATATATACCCGTTTTTAGTCATAAACTAACATACATTAATAAAAACGTATTAAATAAATACCGTCTTACTATGCGATTCTCATGCAAATAAATTGAGGAATGAAAAAAAAGTATTTCTCAATATCGCCCTCCTATGCGATTCTCATGAGTTCAAGTAGGACTTACACGGCACCAAGCAAAAATCAATAATCCTTGTTGTGTATTGTGTATTCCGCAATATGCATCAGAAAGTGTATAAGATTTTAATTTATTTTAATTGCGCTTAGCTTTGAAGACTTTTCAACTGCTACTTCTGATGGCAGCTGCCAATGGACAATCATATTATATTCAGCAAAAGTTGAATAAATATTCCCTTTAAATAAATACTGTTATTGGCTATGCGAGCTGGCATTTCGAAATGTGCGTTGCAAGGCGCCAAGTAAAAATCAATTTTGCGCAGGCATCTCAATTATCCATGCCACATACACGCCCATACATGCGCTATGCATATTTATGTATATATTAGTGAAATGTTTTTAGTATTTTAATTGAAAAAAATCATTTAACTGTGTAGTTGCAGCTATTTCCAGCGCGTTAGTTTGAATTCTTTTTGTTGCTATTGCTGTTTTTTTAATCTTCAACATGGCCAAACTCAATCAGCCAAATCAAAATGTTGCCTGCAAATAAACGCCATTTGTTGTTGCAGTTGCTGCCGCTGTTGTTGTGGCAGGCGCCCATAGACGACCACAAACAACTCGTTAAAATTTGCATGTGAAATGCAATCGCCTAAAACTGGAAAATAGGCAAAACAAAACACAAAAAAAAAAAATAGAAACCAAAACAAAATGATGTAAAAAATCCAAAATATTGCTGAAAAAAGTCGAATCGACGTAGCAAATACGCGCGCACGCAGTCGGCTACACAAAACGTTGCGAGTGTTGCAACATCGCATGGAATGGGACATGGGGATGAGCAGTGGGCGCGGCTGCTTGGGTGGTGGCTTCAGTAAGCCAAAGGGCTGGCCAGCTGCTGCTGCTGCTGTTGTTGTTGCTGTTGCTGTTGCTGTGTGGCCAGTGCACTAATAAAAACAACTGAACAACATTTTTGGCCATGCCACACGGCTATCAATTTGATATATCAATCAGCGTGGGAGAAAAATGATTGCCAGTTGCTTGTTGTTGTTTGTAGTTCGTTATTGCTGAGCATTCAAATCGATGTGCCCAAAAAAAGAATACCAAAGAAGGCCTATCCACAGCATGCCACCAATTAAATACACTATTTCATAGCCATAGGTGCCGAAGCCCAACTCCCGTGTCCGATTGTTCCCAAGGAAACATTACAAGCTCCAATTGATACGGCTTGCAAATAGGTTAGGCGAAAGTGTGTTTCAAGTAATTTCAGAGTTTTGTTTACGTGAAAGATCCTTCCCATGCGTGCAGTATGATATGCTCTTCCGATCCGGCAGGTTTCCAGAGAAGAGAGACAGGCTTGAATAGAAACAAGTCTTATGTCAATAAAAAAAAATATACTAACTTTATTTAAGTCGTAAAAATCTCAAACTAGGTGTTACACGTTTCATGCCTAAGTTGTAATACCCTCGGCTAGGGTATTCAAAGAAAAACAAATAATAATGAACAAAAACAACAAGGGACTAAAAATAACAAGAAATCTGTGGCGAGTGCAATATTCAGTTGAGCTGCAAGAGCTCACTGAAAAGAGAAGCAAATTGCAGCGAATTTCAATTGCCTGTGCGGCATTTGCAACTTGGCCTTGGGGCAACTTCTGTGCGGCTGCCTCAAGGATTAGCTGCTCCGGCTGGACGGTGGCTGGACGGATCGCTGGCTGCGCTGCCAGTGGCTCATAAAGGGGATCTGCGCCCAGTGCTCTGATTGATTTATGGCCACGCTCATAAAAGTGGGCGGCCAGCGGGTAAAGGGATTAACAGCGGGTGGGTGCGAACCGATACGAAGATAGAACGGATCTCAGTTTTGGCTCTGCTATCAGTCACACACGCACGAAAAGAATGAAAAGAAGAGTGCGCGCCATCTGGTCAGCGGAGCAACGACTAGCGGTTACCCTGTAAAAAGCTCAGCGAAAAATTATGTGGAAAGAATACAACTGGGAGAGTAAATATTTTATAAATTAAACGAACTAAATTGATGTATTGCAAAGGTAAATTAATTTTAATTAGTCAAAAAGTTTAATATTCAACAGTCTTAGGCGTCAATATATAAATCTAAACATCCCATATTTTTTTTAAAATGTATTTTATTAGGCTTCAGTTATATTATTATTTTTATTAGTTAGAAACTGCTTTCATTTATTACGTTCATGGCAAGCTACAAATACATCTTAGCTGCTGACATTCACAGGGTATATAAAAACGTTGCCTTCGCTCGTCGCCTGTTAATAGCTTTAATGCTGTTTTATGGCATTCGTCGAGTGGCCAGCTATGGAACTGGGAGCTGGGAACCGGGTACTGCTAGCTGGGAACTGGGAACTGGGAAATGGCATGCCAACGCCAAATGTTTTACATGCGTGTTGTTGTTTCTATTGTTGTTGTTGTTGTTGTTGTTGCGGCGGCAACAATGTTTTGTTTGGCGGTCGCATAAATAAATTGGGATTGGAGTATTCGCTGGCTCAGTGTCGGCTGCCTCAGTGCCGAAGCAAAGCTCATAATTCCAGCTTTTATTTGTGGGATTTTGGCATGGCATGTCAGTCATGTGTCGCTCTGTTTCTGGTTCTGGTTCTGTTTTGGGCTCCGGGGCGTCCGCCCCATCCGCCCGCCCGCATGCGCATTCGTAACGCTTTCAATTCCAACGCTGATTAATGGCTTTGTTTGCTCTCTCTCACTCTTTACTCCCTTTTTCCCTTTCCCCTTTCAGATGATGCGCTTTGGCAGCGCTTGAGAAGCGTCAACGTCATTAAGGGAGCCGATTGCGATAGCGATAACGATAACGATAAAGATACCACCGCGATACTAGCCACAGCCGACAGCAGAAAGATGTATCCCGGCAGCGCCAGCAGCTCCAACACCGCCGCCGCAGCCGCGTCCAAGTTCCAGAATCGCTGCGCCTCGCCACAATTTGCCAGCTTTGCTCCACCACCGCCGGCAGATTATCCGCCGCCAACATTGCAGCAGCAGCAGCAGCAGCAGCAACCACATCAGCAACAGTTGCAGGCACAGACCACTGCGGTGGCGGTGCACAGCGTACCCGGACATGGCTCCATGCGGCACATTCAGCGCAATCAGCTTACTATGAGTGGACACGGACATGGCCATGGCATGGGCCACGGCCATGGACACGGGCACGGCCACGGACACGGCCATGGCCTCGGCATGGGGATGGGCGGCATTGGACATGGCGCCGCCACGATGGGCCATCATCACGGACATCGCGGCGATCTAATCTTTCCGGACGACATGGACAGCATTGAGTTCTGCATGCCGGCACCGCCATCGTCCTCCTCGTCGTCCTCACAGCAAAACGGGGAACTGATGCTGCTCCAAGGCGGCCACGGCGAGCCCTTTACGGAGCGACGACGACGCGGCCACAGTCGCCGCAGCAACCACAAAATGGATGTGGAGCAGCAGGTAAGAGAAGCGAGCATTAAAGAGAAACTTTAGCTGAAAGCCAACCGAATTGAATGCAATTAATTAAATTTTAATTTTAAGCATTAAGACTAAATTGGACTCGAATTGTTTTCGAATGAAATTGGAGCTGATTTTTAATATAAATTGTACCACTAAAATCGCTTCAAATTCAATACAAATCAATCTTCCTAGATTGAGCTAATCTCATGTTTTTCTACTTGGATCTGCAGGTGAAATGGTCGCGCAAGAACATCGCTGCAACCATGGAGCGCTTTGAGCCCACCGCCAATACTCAGTCCTCGTCGAGCACTTCGTCGCTGGACTATGGCTTCGCCGCGGGCGTTATGACGCCCAGCAGCAGCAGTGCTACGCCCTCGCACGGGGCTGGCTCAGCAGCTGGGCTGTCCTCGACGCCCTCGCTTCATGTGGCCTACAATGGAGCCGGTGCTGGTGCTGGTGCTGGTGCTGGTGCCGTTGCTGGTGTGGGCATGGCCGCGAGTGGAGCAGCTGCAGCTGCTGCCGCTGCACCATTCAATCATGTCTACTCCTACGCATACTACGAGCCAGGCGCGGCCAAGTGCCATACGAATGTGCCCGCTCAGGGTCAGGGCAATGGCCAGCACGGACCGTCGAAGAGTCCGCCGCGCAACTCGATACGCGCGCTGCTGGCCAAGAGCTTCCGCTCGAAGTCGTCGTCGCACAGCGGCCAGTCGACATCGTCCTCGCCAAGCGCCGAGGAGCGGGACAGGCACACGTATACCACACGCTACGGCACCACCGAGAATCTGTACGAGGAGGTGAGCGACCAGAAGATACGCAAGGTGCTCTCCGACAACCGCATCGCCACGTCCAGTGCGGGCAACGTCAAGGAGGAGCTGCGTCGCGTCCAGCACAATCATTTCCGTGTGCTCGACGAGCTCAATCTGTCCCTGGAGGCGCTCATAATGCCGCCCACGCCACCGGACATCAGTCCCAGCCATGGCGGTCCGGCTAGTGCCAGCTCCAATGATGTGCAGCACGACTCGCTGCCCGCCCCCAGCAACAGCTGCAGCAGTGGCAGCGGCAGCGGCAGTGCCAGCGGCAGCGGCAGCGGCAGTGCCAATGCCAGCGGTGCCGCCGGCAACATATCCTCCGCCCAGGCCAAGAACGTGCTAACCGCAAGCCAGCGACCGCGTCGCGGTGGCTTACTCGGAGGTGCCGCCGCCAGTGCTGCGTCCAACTCGAGCTCAGCCTCACATGCCAGCCTCGAGAATCTGTCGAGCACCTTGAACAGCATGGAGCTGAAGGATCATGCCCACAGCAGCTGCATCAATCCGGAGTTCGATGAGGGTGACCTGGACAGCGGCTTCAGCGGCAGCGGCAGCAGCAGCGGTGCCAGCTACAATGAGAGCTTGCGCTATTATAAGACGGCCACGCCCACTAGCCATAGTCATAGCCACAGCCACAGCCATGGGCACTCCGCGCACAATCCCAATCTGATGGCCCACAACAACAACAACAACAGCAACAACAACAACAATAACCACATACACACCAGCACACTGCCGCACAATCTGCGCAGCTGTCGCTCCTCGACAGCCTCCGGCACATCGACATCCAAGAGCAGCATGGCCAGCTGTAGCGAGGATCAGGGCATCGCCGGCATGGGCATGCCAATGGGCATGGGCATGGGCATGGGCATGGCCGTGGGCATGAACTCTGGTATGGGCGTGGGCATGAACGCCGGCGCCATGGGCATGGGGGGCATGGGTGGCATGGGCATATCAGAGACGGCTGGTGGCAGCTCAATGTCGCCCTTCAATTATCCACGCCGCTGCTCGGCGGATCAGCAGCGTGCCTCCGGGCGTTCGATTGCCTCGGCAACCGGCTCCGCAACGGGCCCCTCCATCACAATGGCCACCGGCGCGAAACCCAAAAAGAACTTCTGGACCATGAAACCGTGATGCTACAAAAAGGCCCTGCGTCACATATGCAAGAAATGGAGCATTGTTATGGTGAGTACTGAGACAATTAATAATAAGTAGATATAAGTCCGAAACGAGGCTATAAACATTAACTTCACTTTTCTTCACTATTAGCAAGACCATTAAAAAAAAGGCGAATTATAAAGCGCAACGAAGAATATTATATAAAAAAGTCACTAAATGCAGAAAGTTGAACCGGCATTTACTTAGTTGCAGTGCTGCTATCTATTTTCACTTAGAGCGTTCTTTTATATCTTGCTTAAATGTTATCGTTATCGTAATCGTAATCGTAATCGTAATCGTAATCGTAATCGCTGTTATTATTATTATTTTTGTGTGCCACATCTCGTTTTTTTTTTTCACGCGCCCTCACTCGCCACTCCGCAGCTTGTTGTCTCTAACTGTTGCAGCATCAATTTCAACTTTTCAACTTTAATCATAATAAATATGCGGCCTGGCCCAGACTCGGGCTCAGGCCCAGGCCTGGGCTTCAGTTCAAATCAACGAGGCACTTCCGCTGCCGCTGCTGCTGCCGCAGTCAGCGTCGCTTAAGCCACTCTCGCATATTCCCAAGATAATAAATTTATTAACAGGCAACGGCAACGCGGCAGCTACAGAAGCATCATCATTATCTGCAGCGGGCAGCGGGCAGCGTCCTCCGCACAACCCCGAAATGAATCAATTAAAACTGATTGAACTTCATAGATTTGTTTCATTTTGTGTGTGTGTGTGTGTGTGATTTTTTTTTTTAATTTCACTTGCAACTGAATCTGGGGTAATGCCGGATTCAGATTCGGACCGCATCATCTGCCGCTGCTGCTGTGGGCTATGTGGGAACTTGTTTGCACAGCCCGAAGACACACACACACGCGGGCATAAACATGCCCCCATTTTCTTGGTCTGCCGCAGGGATTATGAGTGTCATGTGTGTACGAGTGTGTGTGTGTGTGTGTGTGTGTGTGACTGGCCATTAAGGCGCCTGTTGAAATCGAAATCCCAATATCAGCATTTAAAGTCTTACGGCCTAAGATGCAATACTCTGTGCTCCATACTCAATATGCTATTTTGCCGGCTATCGATTTTCCTCTCGCCCAATTTCTGGCTCGGAATTCCCAATTCAGCAAGCGCACCCCTTGTGAATAATGTGAATAATGCTGTTATTCATTGCATTTTGTTATAAATCTGTCAATTTGCACAATTGTGCGTGTGCTTTGTGCATTCGACAGGGTCGCTGCAGAAGCGAAGCGGACGTTTGCCGTAGCCGGGACGCTGATGGGGACGGAGACGGGGGCGGATTTGTGGCATAAGGGTGAACCAGACACTCGACACTTGCGTGAGCAGCAGAAACGAACGAAGAGCTGTAAGCATCTGAGAGACTCACAGACTCGCAAGAGGCTGAAATATTTTTCGGGCTGCATCCGCATTAGCATCCGCATCCGCAGGGCGCACGTTTTTGGGCACCATAAAAAATCTGTTGCAAAATGCGACTTTGTTGTTGCTGTTGTTGTGCGTGTGTTGATTTATAGTCGCAATTGGGCTGAGGCGCAACTAATTTGCCTCGAGTGCTAAGTAGCATGCGAAACAGGGAGACGACAGCCAAAAGCATGTGAGTGCAGCACCACATGTGTGTGCATGAGTGTGTGTGTGTGTGTGTGTGAGTGAGTAGTGTATGGGAGGATGGGTGGGTGCTTGTGAAGTGCAAGAAACTCTATTGGTAATAGTTAAGCGCGATAAAGATACATTCTTTTATAACGCAACGCTTAATACTCATCGAGTCATACTTAAAAAATACTCATTTGTGTATTTGTGAAAAAGCGAGGCCTCTGAAATGGCATAAGCTGTATTGAGAGGCAAGTCAATTCATGCGTAATTCTTATCGGTTCATACTCATGAAGTACTCATTCGAATGAGTGTGTGTTGTAAGTGAGTGCGGTTATGTGTTAGCTTGCGAAATGGCTTAAAGTGCATTGGGAGTTCGATTTTTTATTATGTAAGCTTACTCTAGTGATATTTCCATTAACATATCTCGATAAACACATCGATACTCATAAATTACTCATTTCATTAACACTCAAGCGACATGTGTGCGTTAAATAATGTAGACTTTATTGCAATAGAGTTCGGTATAGCTTCCATAAATTGAAATGCATATTGCTTGCAACACCTACCGAGACTTACTCATAAAATACTCATTTGGCAACACTTTAGTTTGCTATCATCAATTGTTGTGCGCATTCACTTGCATTCGTGTGCTGTTAATTGAATATTCAATAACAAACACAACAACGCTCTCATCCATTATTCAATTGGTTTGAGTCCATGCGCGCAGAATGATCTTTCATATTCAATTGCATTCATTTTGCAACGAAATGTGAATGATTCTCATTCACATGCCACATGCGACTGGTCGCAGGAGCACGGGCACAGGATGCGCACATGTGTGTACTTTACCCTCTTTCACTTGTGCCCTTTTTTTATGTCTAATCCAGCTAAAGTTGATCTGAAAACGATTTGTGTACATTTTGACAGCATTTGTCGAATGTTTCACTCAATCTCAATCTTTCTCTCTATCCCTCTGTCTCCGGCTGGCTTTCTTTTTTTAACTTTTCTGCCGTACGGCAACCCTGACGACCCACAATCCGCGCGGCTCACTTGAAAATCGCTTAAATGTTGCCAAATCGCTCGTAACCAGCAACAACAACGAAACAGGCTAATAAAGCAAAACAGCAATTGGGGGAGAAGGAAGTGAGAAAGAGAGAAAGCGCAGAGGAGCAGCCAAAAAAGGCAACTCAAATGAAATCAGAGCCACATCAAATGCCAAACGTCTGTTCGCAAATATGAAAATGGATTTCAAATGGATTTGAATGGACTTGGAGCAGCTCTCTTCCAGCCGCAGACCCAGACCCAGACCCAAGCCCGGAATGAGTCGGAGCCGGACAATGATGGACATACGCGGCATTTAAGGGGCCACATATGCAGCAAATCGGACGTAAACATTCACTTAGCCATAATAAAAGAAATGAGAAAGAAAATGAACGGCAAAGCATTTCCATTGCAGCGGGAATAAAATAGCAACAACAACAAAAGCACTTGTTTAAATTTGTCAGTTTGTAGTTTTCAAGTACCCTTTTTGGCAGGGCGGGTACTCTGATTTTCTCACACAATCTGACATATTTTCGGCTTCTCCTAATGTAAATCAAGCAGAAACCTGAGTTAGATATCATTAGATGAATAGAGAACTGTCGAAACTAAGCCTGATCGGTAGCACATATTTGGTTTTATAAAAAACTTTTCAAATAGTTGAAAATTTGAATACAAATAATAAATACATCAAATTGTTCTAGGCGCGGCTTTAGCTTGGTTCAAACTTCGCTGCCTCAAATTTGATAAAATTTTAGGGCCCCAGCTCATGCTAAAGCTAAGTCAAAGCAATCAAATGGAAGCATACAATAAATGAGGGTATCAAATATTCGCTAATCTAAAGTTAGACGGACCAGAGCAGTCCGTTTTTCTATTGCTGTTTTGTTTGCCAAATTCGACGCACAAGTTGCCAGTTTCGATAAGCAGCTCGAGGCATGAAGCGACTGTTCGAAATATTCGAAGCTGAAGCGGGGCTGGAGCTGGAGCTGGCGCTGGCGACTCTAGAGTCTTGTCTGGCTGGCGAGATTTAGCCATGCTGATTAAAATTGAATGATGGCCAGAAGGACAGCGACAGCGACAGCGACAGCGAGTGACATAGAAATTGCTATGGCTGAAGCGAGCGCAGATCCACAAAAACTGGTCCCGGCCAAGGGCGGGGGGACGAGGGCGATTGGAGGCATGCGATTGCTATTGGGCTTGGTTTAGTTTGGTTTGGGCAATGGCCGTCATGCCCTTCAACAATTACACACAAGCACACACACACACACGCCCAAAATAAGGAAAAAAGAAACGTTAACCCACTGATGGCGCCCGAAACGAAGCCGGAGACATAACATAATAAATTTGCAGGCAAGGCAGCGCTTCGCTATCGGCACAGTGGTACAAGGGGCTGCAAACAATTGATAGCAAGTATGAGATTTTAGTATATAATTTTTGTATTCATACAAATAGTCACAGATGCGGTTATACTGTTTGTAATTATATTTAATTATATTATATATAAATGTTCGTGGTTGCATATCTGCATGGCCCGGCACCAGTGTGCACTGGCAGGGCGCCAAGAGCCAAGACGGAATGGGAACTCGCTGGAGCAAGGACACGTTGGTGGGCCGTGAAGAAAGGGGGCTGGGGTATAAGCGGACAATGGCAAGCGTAGAGCAATAACATGAGGGTGGCTCAACGGTGGCTCAGCGCTCGGTGGTTGTTGCTGCTGCTGTTGGCGTGACATTGTCAGCCTTGGACTGGAACTGTGCCTGTTCTGGGGGTTGTCTGCAAATCACCCACCATTTGCTGAAGCTGCCGTCGTCATTGTTGTTGTTGTTGTTGTTGTGGTTTTCGAAACTGCGTCGTCTGCGGGCGCAAGAAAAACTGTAGTAAATAATTCTTTAAAGATTTAGAGACACTTGGAGAACAGATGCGTTGCCAGCAATTGCAAATTTTTATGAGATATACCCCGAGTCAGAGCCAGAGCCAGAGCCAGGGCCAGGGCCAGAAACAGAGACAGCAGCCGAACAGACCTGCTGCCTGAGGCAAGAGGGGGTGGCTGCCGGCGGCGAGTCAGCGCGTGCTTGACGCTGCTTTTTAGCTATTTTTGTCAGCAAGCGTCGCCATAAGCGGGCCACATATCAAGATTAATTTTTTCCAAGATAATAAATTCAATGCAGATTAAATGGAAGACCATTAAATTATCGGCAGCAAAGTCGACTGTGAGATGCGAGCCAAGTGAAGCGGGGCTGAGTGTTAGTTTGTGTGTGTGTGTGTGTGGGTGTTTGATCGCTAGCGTATTGTGATAGTGCACAGTAATTATGCTTAAGCTTAAGCCAGATATTCGTAAGTAAATCGAACATTTAAATCAGTTAAGATGCTCATAAATAAAATGAGCCAAAGAT